GATCTGCTGTTATTGAAGGAAGTAGTGGAGCTTGGCTTAAAGACACTTGAATGATCTATTAATACGGCAGAATGTAGAACTGTAATGAAAGAACAATTTATTTTTCAGTTGAAATCACTATCACAGTACAAGGCATTTACAAGTGATTAAAAAAAACCTACCACCCAGTATAACAGAAAATGGCCTTGCCCAGTCAATTCCTGGCTTTTTGTAGAAAGTCAGGATTTCCCTTTCACGATCTTCTTCTGTAGATCTAAGATCAAGCCTTGCAACCAACTCTGGCTTGAGTTCTGCACTGTTGAGCAATTGACGTTTGAATATGTTTGCTGCCTTGAGAACATCAGGCTCTGTTGTCCACTCTAGGAAAATAAAGCCATGTGTGAAAACTGGACAAATATAATCAATATATTGATTTGATTTTAGACGAGTAGTTAAAGACAATATTTTTCTAAAGTCACCACAGTGCTTTTATAAATAAACTGTATCATAAACTATAAGACAGTGGTACCTTCAGAGCTACTACTTTTGTTTTCTTCAGTTTCATTTAGGCTTCTTGATGAGCTAGCAGAAGCTGAAGTTCCTGCTTGGCTTGTTTCTGGACTTCCTGAAGCCGTATTCTCTGTTTCTTCATCATTTGACTCTGAATGACTTTTTCTTTGAATGTTAAAAAGAAAATGTGAACACATCAGTGAAAAACACAAACATAATACCATAATAGTGTATGAGGCACATGAATGTATGATTTGAAAAAAAGAAAAAAAATAGACCAAGTGATATTTTAGGATTGTAAGTGTGTAAAAACTCATGAATTCAAACTATAAAAATGTAAAATCTTTAATGTCTCACTTTTCACAGCAGTCGACGTGACTCTCAATCTCAGAAAGGCAAAATATTTCTGCACAGTAAATGCATTCCACCATTGGTCCATTTGTCTGAGAAGTGGGTGTCACACTGAGAGGATTCTAGCATGAACGAGAATGACAAAAATATGAATTAACATATCAAATATTGTTTACAACAGAGCTTGTTGAATTTCATTCTCAAGTACTTATGTTGTGGTTTCTGGCTGGGAATTTTCTCACCAGTACTCTATCACTCTAAAGAATAAGAAACTACATAGGAAACAAATTACCTCTAGGTCAATATCTTTTTGGAGTGGTCTTATGTAAATCACAGCTGCCCCAACTCCAAGTTCTTTATTGCAGAGGAGCTCTGGAGTGTATCCTTCCTGTGGACAGGTAATGACGTCCAAGACCTTGGACCTTGTAGAACCACGGCTTCGCAAGAGTTGAAACCCACCACAGTCCTTAAGATGTGGAAAGTTCAACTGTAGATGATTGGAAAATTCAGTTGCACTGCAGTATCGATCTGAGGGAAAAAAACAGTATTATAACGAATGTGGGGGCAAAATATGCACTTTAATACTACACTTTTGGCTAATCTAAATAGCTATATGTAGAAAACAAGTCATTTATTAAGGATGTGGATCAGCTTTTGAAACAGTGCAGGGAATAACTTCATAGGTGTTAATTAAAAAATATTAAAAACACATTTACCCTTCTAGCAAAGTAACATAAAATCTGCATTAATTTATACATTTTGACATTGCAGTCCATAAACATTCACAGTCTTACTAAAGACAATGTACACCCTAGGATGAACTGAGTGGCAAAACGTAAGAGGGAAAGCTGCTGTCTCACATTTACACACAGTGGATCTCATTTATGAATCTGTAAATTTGGGTGTAGATCTGCACACTAAGGTCTATGCCACATGTGTCAAACTCAAGGCCTCCCGTGTGGCCCGCCGGGGGG